ATCGGATGGGATCGGATGGGATGGGATGGGATGGGATCGGATGGGATGGGATCGGATCGGATGGGATCGGATGGGATGGGATGGGATCGGATGGGATCGGATCGGATGGGATGGGATCGGATCGGATGGGATCGGATCGGATGGGATGGGATGGGATGGGATGGGATCGGATGGGATCGGATCGGATGGGATGGGATGGGATGGGATCGGATGGGATCGGATCGGATCGGATCGGATCGGATGGGATGGGATGGGATCGGATCGGATGGGATGGGATGGGATCGGATGGGATGGGATCGGATGGGATGGGATCGGATCGGATGGGATCGGATGGGATCGGATCGGATCGGATCGGATGGGATCGGATCGGATCGGATCGGATCGGATCGGATCGGATCGGATCGGGAGCCGCTCTCGCCGCGTTGCCGAAAGAGGCACCGGCAGCGGCTGAGCGGAGCCGAGAGGAGTGCGTGCCAGTTTTACCTTTCTCCATTTATTATGTATTGCTTTCTTTAGTTTCTGTCTTATCCCGGGTAGTCTTTTAATCAAAACTGTCCATTTTCAAAGTTGTGGAGTTATCTAATAAATTGGTCTTTAGCAACCTGTTTTTCATTCCCCCTCCCCTCCTATTTTTTGGTACTGTTTTTCTTCATGTGCGTGTTTACTCTTGTTCATTTAGAAGAAATTAGTGTTTAGTGTTAAATACCATTTAATCTGTATTTGGTTCATGATCAGCTTGCCAAAATAAGGTCTGAAATGCAGTAAGAACTTCTGTTACATTTTTACAGAGATGAACGAGGTCCTAGTACGTTGCTTCCTTGTCAAAGAATTTTTTTTGTGCAGTGTCTCTGATACATGGGCACGTGCTTTCTACAGCTATACAACTTTTTGTGTAACATGGGAGCCGCAACAGTATTGTTTATCATGTATAAGTATAATAAAACTACCCTCTTTCTATTAACAAAACTTCTATCATCATAATAAAGACTGAGGAGTTTGGCTAGGCAGTTGGTTGTGCATCATTGACATAAATATCACAGTATACAATTGGGTTACAAAAGCTACGTGCCATTCCTGCTTTTAGGATGCACTATGTGAGACTGAGCACTGTTGGCTTCAATCCTGCAGTGCTGGAGTTAGTGCCAGTTCTTCCCTTATCGGTAAAAGACTTGGTTCAATCCCATGCTGTTTACCAAGATTTCTGTGCTAACAGGTGGGTTTTGATTATTGCTGAATTTAAATACTATCTTCAGCAGATTATAAAGCTAAGCAGGCTGTTGATATCTTATAGGTAATTATATATGTGGTGATGGCTCAGTAACTGACAAAAATGTTTAGTCTGTAAAGACTAAATACGTAATTTAGTGGTATCTTTGTACGGTACTATTAATGTAATGCTTTTATTAGCATAAATAGATTGACATACTACATATTTAATCCAAGAAATCTTGCATGTAAATACAGTCATCTTCTGCAGCCAGAAACTAAGCTTACAGCAGCATTTGTTCACAAAAAGTAGAAAATCTGAAGAGTCTTCCTTGAGAACACAGCAGGAGTATAAACAGTTTAAAATTTATTTGAGTAGAAGGAACTTCCCTTTATCAAATGTGGGGGGAGCTATTTTTTGTGGGAGGCAGTGAATTGTTGGAAGTGAATCATTCTAGGGATAAAATTACAATTGACATGAAAACAATTTAAATAGAAATCTGCTTTTTCATAATTGGAGGAGTCCTTTGAGGTGAAAATCAGGGATTTGGTGCAGGGTGTTTGGTATGTGGCCAGTATTGCAGAATTGGTCATAGATGTCTTATTGCATCTTTGCTTTACAATCTGTAAATCTGGCTCATCCCCACTTGCTTCCAGCTAAGTGTTGTGGACTGCTCAGGACTTAAATTACTTTATTGGTTCCCCAAGTGTCTTTTTAGGTAGCCTGCATGAGAACAAATACAGGGGCAACAAGTCAGCATTACAAAGCAGATGAAAAGACAGGGAGTGTGTATCACAGACAAAATGAATATTGAATTACCCATATTTCTTCTGTTTTTTCAGGTAGCTGTGGAGCTTCCTTGGACTCTACAGGTCCTTCAAGAGAAACTGTACCTGGTGCATGGGGACAAGTGCACTGTTTTCCAGTTCAAGAAGCCTTTTTACCACTACAGAGCTTGCCCATATTCCACTATCATGACGAGGGAAGGAGAGGATTTTATCATTAGCATGCAGGGTGGGGAGCTTCCTAACTTGCCTCTAAGGAGTAAGGACTCCTCTGCTATTCCAGCAGCCTGTTGGTGTGTCCTAGCATTGCATTGTGAGTATCAGCAGAACTGGGCAGGATTTGGGTTAGAGTCACTTGCTCTCAGTCTTCCCTGGGGAATCCTGCAGATAGTGTGCATCCCAGGCAAGCTGTGGGCCATTTGAAGTGAGGTCAGGATGCAAAAGCAGAGTCTGGAAGCAATACCCATTTTGAAAGCCAGACTTCCTTTTTTTCCTGCCTGGCTTGTCTGGTGCACTGGAAATGTGGGATGGGTTCACTCTGCATTCTCTTGCCCCAACTGTGCAGCTGGTCCCTTGCATTTTCTCCAGAGCTTCATGCCAAGTTCTCTGCTGCATATATGGGTGGGTCAGGGCTGTGGGAGTGATCTGGGCTAGCACTGAGCACAGTTGTGAACTAGCACTGGGGGATTGTGTGTTGGGATATTTGTATGTATTTATCCCTGCTGTTTCTTTCTTTTAAGATCAGGTCAGTAACTTGTCTCATTTGACCACCATAATTCTGATCTGATGCTGGGAGCCAAAAGGCAACTTTTCCTCTTGGCAATCCATAGCCTAACATGCAACCACATACAAAAAAGTCTCACGAAGTAAATGAGAAATAGGAGTCATATGTGTATGTGTCTGTTAACATGTATATACATGTATACATATATGCACATACACACACACGTTTTTTTCCCCCAATATATATGTTAAATGTATACACCTACTCACTTAAGATAGCTCCTTCTGGGTTCTGGGCATTCTGACCCTGTGGAAACAGAACTGGGTCGTTAGAGAAGACAGAGAAAATTACAGGTATCTAAATGTTATTCCAGACATAGAAGGTAAGAGCTAAACTTATTCAGAATTAATGGGCCCTAAAGGGAAAGGTCATGATTGGCTGTACATGATAGAAGCACAAAAAATAATAAAAAAATTATTAATAATGATGAGCTGGATCATGAGAATGATGGATGCTAAGATGCGGAGTGGCATTAGACCTATGTTATTCCAGCTGTCAGCTTCATGTGCGCTGAAGAAAGAGTAAGAAATAGCTTGAAATTCTTAATGCTAAATGGGACCTAGGGCAGATCCCACTCAATCTTCAGACTTTGCTTTGCCAGAAATGAGGATACATGTGAACAATTATTCAGTGGACATTTGTATGAATATGCTATTATTTCACAATCTTTTTTTGGACTACAAGACTCTAGAACTTTGGAAAGGTAGGTATGATAACTGTATATACAATCCTGTTTCAAGGAAGATTTGAAGAGGTTAAGAGATTCCTTATGTTTCAGTGGAAGCCTGCAGGTAGGGTATCTTTAAGTGACTATAGAATCAGATTCAGAGTCTTCAGATGTTGTAAACACACTTTTTTTCAGCACCATTCACAAAACTAGATAAAAATAGGTACCTCTGTAATATTATTTGTAAGGCCATCTGGCTAGTGCTTATTCAACATTAAGAAAAAAAAAGAAACAGGAGAGGAGATAAATTAAAGACATAGAAACACAAATCCTAACAGAAACCAGTTAGAGGCAATAACAAAAGACCAGTAATCTTAAGTCAGGGGAGCTATTATAGGAACCATTAAATATAATCTTGAAGAGGTTCAGCCAGATTCTTTGATGATGTGCAATAATCGCGTTTTATTTTTGTTATCAGAATGAGTCTTACAGGAAAGAGTAAATTTATGAGATTTTTTCGAGGGAAGATTGTGGGACTGCACAAAAATGTTACAACATTTTTAGGGGGAACAAAACCAGTCCTGCACTCCATAGTCTACATATAAACATTATTTTAAATGTCTTCTCATTGCATAACTGCGAAGTAGCCACATGTGAAGTAATGCAAATGTTAATAATTAGACCTATTGTTTCACTATAAACCCTTTTGTTTTGTAATTTATGTCTGGCATTCACTGATTTAGTTATTTCTGTAACTATTGAAGTGTGTCTTCCTTTCATACAGACTCTTTAAATATCACAGAATCAGCTAGATTGGAAAAGACCTAATCATTGAGTCCAATATGACTCAACACCACCTTGTCAATTAGACCGTGGTACTAAGTGCCATGTCCAGTCTTTCCTTAAATACTTCCAGGAACGGTGACTTCACCACCTCCCTGGGCAGCCTATTTAAATATCTAATCACTTTTCTGTGAAGAAATTCCTTCTAATGCCCAATCTAAACCTCCCCTGGCACAGCTTAAGACTATGTCCTCCTGTCCTATTGCTAGTTGCCTATGTATATAGAGTAAATATACTTTTTGATGGGCTCACAGAATCATTGAGGTTGGAAGTGACCTCTGGAAGTCTCTAGTCCAACCTTTCTTCCTCAGCTCAGGGTAAACTTGAGCGGGTTGTCCAGGACCATGCCTAGTTAGGTTTGAAGTATGTCCAAGGGCAGAGACTCCACAACTTCTCTGGGCAACTTGTTCCAGTGTTTGATCACCTTCAGGATACAAGTATTTCTTCTTATGTTTATTTGGGACTTTCATATTTTTCAGTCCATTGCCCATTGCTTCTTGTCATGTCATCTCTCAGGCTCTCCTCATATGTCAGATGCTCCAAGCTCGTCATCAGTTGCTCTGTGTTTCACTGTTCTATTTTCTCCATGTCTTCCTTGTACTGGGGAGGCTGGAACTGAATCCAGTACTGGGAAGAAGGGAATGATCAACTCCCTTACCTGTTGGTGATGCTTTTCCTAATAGAGGCTATTTGTCTACCACATTATTTAAGTTGTGCCTAAGTAGTAAACTTATGCCCTGGCAGTGAAATTCATGGGGCTAATTAAAACAGACACATGGTGGCTGGCATCTTCAGTGCTCTGACTCTTGAACAAGAACCAGGCAAAGCAACAGTAATACATGTTGAAGGGAAGGAAACTTTCAGGGCATGATTCTCTCCCGTGGCAGTGCTGCTGAACGTTGCTGTTGTTTTGGGGCACCCTGCTTAAACTTGTGGCTGACATTTCAGGTGAGTTACCATGGTTTGGTCAGCAAAGCTGTTTAGATGAAAGAGCCGAGCTGCATCCAGCAAGGTCAGATTTTACTGCCGAGAAGGGTGATGCAGGTGGGGAGCCTGGCAGGAGCAGAGCTCCTAGAAAAGCCTGTATCAGCAGCGTGTGGAAGGCAGACAGACTGTCGACGCTGAGCTGATCTGGCTGCACTGCACGCAGTGGGGCTGGCACGGCCGAGCTGTGTGTAAGGAGGTTGGAAAGGCTGACAGGGTAAGATGTGAGTCGTGGCTAGGTTGACACGGGCTGTGTTCCGCAGAGTTTAGGTCAGAGTTTAGCTGGGTGTTACGAATGGGGCTGACGGGAAGGCTCAGGGCCAGGGCGGTGGCCCTGTGAGAGAGACTCCGGGGAGAGACAGGGTGGCCAGGCCGGGGTCCGTCGGGGCCGACCGGCAGGGCAAGACAAATCGTCGCTTTGCTCCAGCAGCGGACGAAGGTGGCGGAGGCGGCCAGGGCGCGACCGGGTCGGGAAGACGGAGAGAGCGCGGAGCGGCAGCTCCTCCCCCGCCACACCCGGTGCGGCAGGAAGAGGAACAGCCGCGCCCAGCTCGCGCCAGCCTCGGCCCAGCGCAGCACCATGGCGGCGGAGGAGGTGGACGGGCTGGCCGTGTCCCGGCCCCACTATGGCTGTGAGTACCGGGGCGCCCGGAGTCCGGGAATCCGCGTGGCCGCCAAGCGACGCCCAGCCCGGCCCAGCCCACGTTGCCCGCACCTTCCAGGGTCTCACGCTGGGAGGGGAGGCTGGGACGCCGCAGGCACGGGGGGAGCCGCGGGGCCCGGGCTCCGGGGCTGTCCCGCGGGCGCGATGCGCCCCACCGGCTCTCCTCGCGGGCCCCGGGGGTGGGCGCCTTGTGGCGCGGGAGCCCGTCCAAGTTCGACGGCCCTCCCGGATGCTAGAGATGAGCTCTGGGAGAAGGCGGTGGGTGGACAGCGCAGGGGCGTCCTACGGCTGTCCCGCCGTCGTCTGCCGCGGGCGGGCCCCGAGCCTCGCCCAAGATGTCCGCCGCGGGCGGGGAGGGGGCGGCCCTGCCTTCTGCCTTCCCGCCGATTTCGGCGACCACACCCGAGTTGCCGGGCGAAACACCGCTGCTATCCGACACCTCCACCACCTTGTCATAGGCTTGCGGTGGAGAGGGAGGCTTTGGCTCTTGCCGTCCGAGACGAGGGCTCACCGGTGCTACGATACCGCGTCAAAGCGGCAGTCGATCCGACCGTGCGGTGCCGCCCGAAGCCGGGGCGGGCAGGGAGGGCCGGTTTAAAGAAGGCAGGATGGAGTCTGAGGGTTTGGGAGAGGAGGGAACTTTTCCCTACTGTCAGGCATTGCCCTGTGCATTGTGACACTTTTCAGCTCACGTGACTTGGGGTAGGTTGGAGTAATCAGAATGGTGCTTTTGCGGTACTCCATACTGGTTTCCAAAGCTCCTTTGCAGTTTGAACCACGATCTTGTTTGATCCCAAGTGCTGTAGTTGATACCTCATCACTTGATGTAGTTCACAGAATCACAGGATGATTTGGATTGGAAGGGACCTTAAAGATCATCTTGTTCCACCCCCTGCCATGGGCAGGGGCACCTTCCGCTAGACCAGGTTGCTCCAAGCCCCGTCTGACCTGGCTTTGGACACTTCCAGGGGTGAGGCAGCCGCAGCTTCTCTGGGCAACCTGTGCCAGGGCCTCACCATCTTCTTGGTTAAAGAATTCCTTCCTAACATGTAATCTGAATCTCTCCACTTTTAGTTTAAAACTGTTCCCCTTTGTCTACCACTATCTGCCTGTGTAAAAAGCCTTTCTCCCTCCTTTTTTATAAGCCCTCTTTTAAGTAGCGAAAGGCTGCAATGAGTTATCCACGGAGCCTTCTCTTCTCCAGGCTGAACAACTCCAGCTCTCTCAACCTGTCTTTGTGGGAGAGGTGCTCCAGCCCCCTGAGCATCTTCATTGCCCTGCTCTTGACCTGGTGTAACAGGTGTTGTGCTGAGGACCCTGGAGCTGGACACAGTTCTCCTGGTGGGGTCTCAATAAGTGCACAGTAGATAGTTGTTGAAAGCATTTTAGGTATAAGCTAACCTTTAATTAATGACAGTATGAGACATTTCCTATTTGTCCAGTGGCCCATAGAACCTAAGAAGTTGTGTGCTTGGGTTTTTTTTTAACATGAGACATATTTAGCTGTAAGTATGGGAAGAGTACACTTTTTCACCGAGGCTTTAAACACACAGAATCTGAAAGATTTAGGCGTATACCCCTATGTAGGTCCTCAGCTTGATCAAAGATGACATGCAGGTTGTGGATCTGAAGGATTCCCTTCCAGATGAGGACTATGAGTAGCATTTCCGTCTTCTTTTAGAGGGGGACTATGAAGATACAGAAGGGATTATATAATGTGAATATATATTTTTGTCCTTCCTTAGTCTTTTGCTGTCAAAATCAGAGGACAGATGGGACATGTGGTCACTGATGTGCCTTTGAGGAAGACAAAGGCAAAACTAGAAGAAAATAAGAGAATGAAGGATCGTTTCTAAGAAATTGGAAGATGGAAGCAGTCAGATTGTGAAATCAGAAAGAAGGAAGATGACAAATTTATGTGAGGAGGATAAGGAAACAGGGTTTCTTCTGATACTAGTAAAGAACAGATCATCAGATTCTTAATTCTTCTGAATTAGGGAAAAAAATGGATGAGTTTCTGTGGGAGAGGTTGGATCTGATTTTTTTATATGCCCGTTCAATTATATTCAATCTTCAACCCCCTGAGAAATATGTTTTATCTATTTGCAGCTGTCTTGGATAATGAGAGATTAACAGCAGAGGAAATGGATGAAAGACGACGCCAGAATGTAGCCTATGAATACCTCTGTCATCTGGAGGAAGCAAAGAGGTAAGAATAAGTGGTTTTGAAACTGCTGGTGCTTTAAAAGAAGTTGTGACATTTGGTAAAGGGAATAATTTGGATGCATCTTACCTCTTGTCTCTGTTTCTTAGTGGTTATATAGTTTCACTAAAAAAAACCAACCGACCAAAACCAGAGAACCCCTCCTACCCCCCCAAAAAACCCCTAACCCCTAATGCGTTTATTTAACATGTTCCTGAAGACTTTGTGACAAGAACTCTGTTGCTCTATTGCTCCAGTTTTCCTAGCACTGGATGGGTTCTCCCTGTTGTCTAACTTGTATCTTAGTGCAGTATCATCTCCTTGCTTAGCACTGGACATCAAAAACACTTATTCCCTTCCTCTTAACTGCAACCTCTTTAAAACTAAATTGTAACAGTGTATTTCCCTTGCACTTATCTTCTCTTAGACTGACAACACAATTCTTGTGTATTTCTCTGTGTCTTTTTTAATAAGTCTGTAGTACTTTTCCCTGGATTGCTCTGACTTCTCTCCATGCACTCTGTGTCTTTCTGGAAGTGCACTTCCAAAACAGAAAACTTTTCCTACAGGGTCTTAGCATGCATACTTTTAAAGAGTGCAGGGATTATTTTGTGTACCCCAGTAGATTTGCTAGTATTGTACACTGTTGCATGGCATTTGTGTTTTCATGATATTAAGATGTAATACAGTTTTGCTGAGTTGCCACCTTTTTGTTGTAGTCGTGCTGGTGAAATTTGTTCCTCATCTTGTGTTTATATGGTCTATCATGTTTTCCTGAGTGTGTTACCCTTCACTTGATCCTGCTGAGTTGGATCTTTCCTGATCTTTGTTTAAAATATTGAAAGAACTTCGATCTTATTCCTGTCTTCCAGCATGTGTGTAGCTTTCGTGTCATCTCCATGTTTAATAAGCATGTAAGCATGCTGTGTATCTTTATTCAGAGACTTAATGGAAAGTATGATCAGAACACAGTAGATGCTGTATATCTGCTGTTAAAGGAGAAAGAACTGGTATTAAAAATGAGTACTTGAAGTCTTACTGCTGGTATTTTTAAAAATCTTCTGCTAACATTAAATCATATATGCTGTACATGGAGATAGAATGAGACATACATAAACGCATGTTTGAAATAGCCAACAGTATGTTTTGTTATGGCTCGCTAAACACTTCAGTCTGCCTTTGTCCTTCAAAAGATGATATGGATTAAGAGCTAGAAAACTTTGACTGGCTGGGTGGTGAATTTCATATAAATCTGTGTAGTTCTTCCTCAGCAAGACAGACGTGTTCAGCTGTAGCGATTTTAATGAGGAGGAAGTGCTGAGTTTTTACTAGCTCACTTCTAACAGAGTATAAAGAAGGATCTCATTCCAAGATTTTAATAGTTTATGTTGCCTTGCCAAGAATGTATAGTATATTTTTGAAAGGGCAGGGAACACTCAGTGTATGCTGTAGTCTTTTAAGTGCTTTGTAACAATTGTCACTAGTACAAATTCAGAGAGACTGCTTAGTTACTAGCAGATAATAGTTTTCCATCTGTATGGACTTGGATGAAGTTTGAAGTAGTGAGAAAGATCTGACTATATTTCAAAATAACTTCTTCCCTTTGAATCCAAAATCATTAGGAGCAAGTCCTGGGCAAACCGGGAGAGAGGAGTTGCACTGTGGTCACTGTACAAGCTTGAAGGAGCCTCTTCAAGGAGGAGATCCCTCACTTGTGGACTCTTCCTGTCATTGGCCTCAGAGTAAATGCTCGAGGAGGTGCTGATTCTCTGTTCAATTCCTTGCCCAGATTTGCAAAAAAATTCAGGCAAAAATACCTAACACAGCAACAGCACCTAATTTCATACTGAAATGAAAAATTTAGAAAAGTTTGGATTTCTGAACTGTCTGATGTAACAACAAATGTGCAGTAACTTCGAGTATTTCTTGAAGTTGTTTGGAGTACCTGTCTGCTAGGGAGCATACATCAGAAGCATTAGCAGAGGAATAACTTGTTCTTATTTAGTGGTATTCCACCCTGCTGTCTTGGGTTTTTTTTCCACTGTCACTGTTGTTCTCTTGTTATTTAGCAGTTTTTGACTTCAGTTAATGTGCAACAGTCTTGCGAAACAGGAATTATTCTTGCTAGTTGGAGAAAGGGAGGCAGAGTGCAATTAAGTTGCTCAAGATTGTGAAAGACATTGAAATGAAATTTGGAGCTAAAATGAAGATTGTGAGTAGAGGGATTCCTGTACTGTGTGTCAACTAGATGCCTCATTCTTGAATAAAATGGTTTATTAATAAGTGTTGTTTAATACTTCGGGTTTTATGGTTTGTGTTCTATTTTTGTTTATGTTTGGATTGGTTTGCTTTTTTTTTTTTGTCTCCAAATCACAGTAGTCCAATAGAAAAGCTGTGGCAGTGAAGATAAAACTATAAGAGTATACTCTGTTCTGTTGTGACATGGCAGCTCATGCTCGCAGAAGGGTAAGGGTGTATTTATCTGGAATAGAAGCAACTCGAGAGACCTTCTTTTGTAGTTCTTATCAAGAAGTCAGGGTGGTGCACTATAATATTCTTCATCAGTGTTGTGTGATAGCCTCTTTTCCTATGTGGGGTACTTGTTGGGGTATTGTGGCATTTTCATGAAATTAGCGCTTAGCAATCTGGCAAAGGCTTTTTCAAGCTTTGTCTTTCACAGTGGAATATTTTAGTTCTCCAAGTGCAACGAGAGTATTGTTGGCTCTCTTGTTTCCTCATCTGACTTTGTGGGTGATGGTACCATGTGTTTCCACTGTGATAGTAGGAAATATTTTCATTCTGGATTATGTCCTAGTATAGCGTAAACATTTTAGTGCCCAGATTATGCTGCTTCCAGTAACTGTTTAACTTGCCTGAGCAGTGTGTTTCTTCTAGAATGCGTCAGGATGGAATCTGTCCCTATGGGGTTTTTTCTCATTTTGGGGTTTTCTTGTAGAAAATATTCCCTATTTAGTAAGGAAAGGATGATGATTGTTCTATATTGTGGATCTAATCAGTTCAGGATTGAAGTGTACTGTCTATGTTCTTGTGGTAATCCCCTTTTTTCTGACAGATTGGAAGATGGCTTAGTGTAAACTGATGAAATCATGGAAAGAAATTAATACTTTGTGCTTGTGTAGCAGAGTCTGAAGGACCTTTCCTATTGATGCTTTTCTGTAAATTACTTTCCCTTCACCTTCATCCATGCTTTCTCTTAAGGTAGGGAACACTTTTTTTTTTTTTGACTGGGATGACTTGTCCGTCTTGAAGCAAAAAGTAAACCTAAATTGTTTACCGGGGAGCTAGATTTCCTACAAGAAAACTAATGTTTAAAGAAAAAAAATCTGGTCTTCATCTTTTTAGGTTTCCCACATTTAGTTTGAAAGTGTTTGACTGGATATCATTGTCTCTCAGAATTTGGCATAGTCATCTGATATTTGCTTCAAGAGGTTTCTTATTTTCAGAGGTGTAGGGTGCCCAGAAGAATGATAAGGAAGAATTACAGAGGACACCTCTTTCTAGACAGATTAAACACATCTAGAGTTAGTGCTCTGCAAAGCTTATTCTGTGAGTAATCTTGTAAAGCTGGTTCATCAGGGTCTGTAAAGGTGTAGATATCAGTTGCTGTAGGAGCTCTTGTTTGAAGATGCTTAAAATAGTGCAGCTTAAATCTTTCTGTGAAGGAAATGTGATAGTTGCTCTTTTACACAGGATTAGTCTCAAGAGGCTTCTTCATTACAAATCAGATTTTTCAAAAAGGGGGATAAATTACACTGATTCTTTTGTCTTACTAACCTGAACTTGGAAAAACTGAAGTAGTTCAGTTAAAATATGTGTCTTATGAACCTTGGTTAAGAACAGGGCTGTGATAGAGCGCTAGGTATTAGAAAGGTAGTTTGAGAAAAGCAGGATTAGGCTTTCTCACTTACTTTTGTATGGTTCTCAGTGTACGTCAGGTAAGTATATCATGTGCAAAATATCTTATTTAAATCCTGCTTAAATTATTGTGCAAATTAAACACAGACAGGTTTCCTATGGGTTTTGAAGCTGTAGGGCACTACCTCTCAGAGGATTCTGAGGATGAGGTGGTAGAACAATCTGTGGCACATAGCCCAGAGTGCCACAGTCCGTCCTGGTGGTGTGAACCACTGCTCTGGTTTTATTGCTGCTTTGTTTTATTGTAAATCTCAAGGTAGCAAGAGTTGTAACTCAGGAGTCCCTCAAAGAAAAAGAAAGGTGGGGATTGTTTTGGATATTTCTGAGCTCATTCTTTTTTCCCATTCCTTCCCCGCCGCCCCCAATTTAGGAAAACCTGACTCGTTGGGATGGGATTTCTTTTAGCTTTTAAAGGTATTTCCATTTGCATTCATATTTGAATGTCCAGAGTGTGTTCAGTCCAGCTGCAGTTTTGTGTCTTTCAGCGATTTTATTAGCAATTAATTGTATTACCTCAGAAGCATAGGAAATTACTAGAATTTTGTAAATAACAGAAAAAGATAATGTGGTGGATCTTGAACTGTTCACAGACTAGATATGAGACATTCTGTAGTTGTGATATGTGAAAGCTATTTTGCTTTTTACAGGACGGCCTGTGTCTGTATTTAATCTATCAGATCACAATGATCCTCTCTTTAATATTTGCTGGTTAGCATTGCATGCTGAAAAAGATCTAAAGATGGAATTAGTTATGTTTAGAAAACATCTGCAGTAATTTTGTCAGTAGCCTGTAATGTAAAGCCAAAGAAGGTGTTCCTCTTGTTGATGAGGTCTTCACATTTAGAAGGGAGACAGTCTGAGTATTCTGAATTATATCTGTTTCGTTTCCTGATATTTAATTTAAACTTATGACTCCTTTCAGAAATATTTTTTTTTATTTTCTAACTTTAGAATGAGGACTTTTTTTAAAATTTTTGAACCATTTATAGTATTGAAGTACGACTGGATTTCTGTGGTTGCAGAGTCAAGAGGCAAATGAGCTCCTTCATAAATGTTTGTATTTGTAAATG